ACATGGTCTAATCAGCTGACTACCTGTGAATGGCTGAAGCTTGGCTGCTTGTGATTGGCTGAGACCAGTTGTTCCAAAAAAATACACTAAGTTACGTTCTCATTTGTTTTTATACCAAGTTAGGTTGCAGTTCACTATGTAGGAACCCAAAGTACCTGCACAGCCTCGAGCCAATGGCCTCCTACTTATTATGGTTCTTTGCAAATGAACTCTCAGATCAAAAAACTGAAATTTCAGAGAAAGTCCTAAAAGGGTCCCAAGTTTCCAGATTTAAAAAAGTAGTCTGTCACTACTGGAGGAATCAGGCTATCAGGATCCTGGTGCCGACTATCAAATCTATTGTGATGCTAACATGAAGCCACAATAATAACATGGGTGGGTGGTTTACATGCCAGGCTCCACAGAGCCTTGGGTGTTCTTTGCAGTCTCCTCACAGGCCATTGTGAGGGAGAAGGGAAGCAGACCTCTGGGGCCTCCACCTCTGCTTCAACTAAAGTGCTGCACTGTATCTTTTACATCTTGAACTTCTAAGATGTTATCTGAAGCTTTCCTTTTTCAAAATGGTGGCCAAAACACGTACTACTGCCTTCCCTTCAGCACTGGGTTCTCAGACACAATAGAAAAAATATGTAACAGGCCGGGCATGGTGGCTCATACCTGTAATCCTAGCACTTTGGGTGACCCAGATGGGGGGATCATTTGAGGTTAGGAGTTTGAGACCAAACATGGCTAACATGGTGAAACCCCATCTCTACTGAAAATACAAAAGTTAACCAGGCATGGTGGCACTCACCTGTAATCCCAGCTACTGGAGAGGCTGAGACAGGAGAATCACTGACCCCGGGAGACAGAGGTTGCAGTGAGCTGAGATTGTGCCACTGCACTCCAGCCTGGGCAACAGAGTGAGTCAAAAAAAAAAAAAAAAAAAAAAAAAAAAAAAAGGTAACAATACTCAGAAAACTAGAAGGGAGATTTTTTAGGGAAGGGAGTTTTCAGAAACTGAAAATCCCTAAAAGAGCCACCAAAAGGATCAGAGGAAGAAAAAAAAAAAAGCCTGAGGTGTGTACAAGAGAGTCTTGCTGCTGCAGAAGGGACAGGTGCCACCAAACATTTGTCCCACCTGGTGGTTGGAATCGAGGAGCTGGGTAGCTTAGATACAAGAGTCAGGGTGCCTATTTGGGAAGGGAAGAACCAAGCCACATTGGACTCATTCCCCCATGGTGTCACTGTGAACAGTGTGGAGCACAGAACGAGGCGGCTGCATCCACCTCTCCTATCAGCAGTCAGTGTCGATTGAATTAGTCTATGTCACTGTTAATAAGGAAACCTGGCTGAGTACGGTGGCTCACGCCTGTAATCCCAGCACGTTAGGAGGCTGAGGCAGGCAGATCACCTGAGATCAGGGGTTCAAGACCAGCCTGGCCAACATGGTGAAACCCCGTCTCTACCAAAAATACAAAAATATTAGCTGAGTGTGGTGGCGGGTGCCTGTAATCCTAGCTATCTGGGAGGCTGAGGCAGGAGAATCCCTTGAACTTGGGAGGTGGAGGTTGCAGTGAGCTGAGATTGCGCCACTGCACTCCAGCCTTGGTGACAAGAGCGAGACTCTGTCTCAAATAAATAAAGAAATAAATAATAAAGACACCTAAGCAGGATGGCCAAATATCCAAATGAGTCCAAATGCATGAGGGAATCTCCCAGAAAGCAGGATGCAGGGGTAAAGAAATGGAATGGAAGAAGGAAAAGTAAGAAATATGGACTCTAGACACAGGAGGTTAAAAAGCCCTCTTTTAAGGATTCCAGTAGCAAAAAATAAAAATAAAAAAATTGAGAAGAGGGAGCAGAACTAACAAAGAAATTACAGAGAAGAATTTCCTAAAACTGAGGTCCTCAAATTGAAAGTTCCCTGGAGGACAAAGCAAGATACATTTTTTAAAAATGGAACAAATAACCCCCTGTAGATTAGAGTAAGATGTCAGAATATCAAGGATAAAGAAAAACTAAAATCTTTGAGAGAGAAAAAGCAGGTCACCCACCATGGCATGTGAATCAGTCTAACATCACACGTCACTAGCAGCACCCAGCAGAAGACGACAGTGGAGTAGTCACTTTCTGAAATGCTGAGGAAAAGCGGCCTTGTTATAGAATTCTCTTCCCAATCAAATTATCATTGAAGTGTGAGGGGTAAAATTAGATGTTCTTGGACATATAAGACCTGAGAAAATGTCCCAACCATCAATTATCCTGAAAGAATTGCTGGAAAGTGTAGTCCAGCAAGAAGCAAAGACATTAGCAAAATTTATAGTTGGCCTTAATAACTATTGAGTATAAAACGTGTGTGTGTGTGTGTGTGTGTGTGAACGTGTGTGTGTGTGTGCCAATTTGGAACCACTTGTTTTGGCTTTAAAAAAGCTTAAAAACCAATGGAAAAAGGGACGAGGTCAAACTTCTGTCATGTAGCACCCTCTGTATTAATTCTGTATACACAGGGTGTATACCTCTGGAGGAGCCAAGTGAATCAGGAGAGTTTCCTTTATGGTCCCTGATGGGCACAGCCTGTCCTCTCTGCCATCTGGATGGGACAGGAGAGATGAACTCTCAGGTAGATGACCCTGGAGGAGGAGCTGGACACCTCATCCTTCATCCTTCCCAGGCCATGTACCCCCTGGGAAAGGGACTTTGAGGGATCTTCACACACTGCAGAGGTGAGGAGGGGCATGGGTTCCTCTTCTAAGTGCTGACAGTTGTGCCCATAGGAAAGGGGCTACCTGGGAAATCGGCATGTTCAAAATGGCAGCTTCATCTTCCCTTTTCCTTGCCAACCACATGTGCAGTAGGGACAGACAACATGGAGCTAGTCAGGCAAATAGCCCATTTGCATAATAAGATTAAGGTGGGGCAGCCAGCTTCCCTCAAGCTATGTACACATCACACCTGGTCCAACCAATCTTTGGGCCGTATGTAAATCAGACACCGCCTCCTCAAGTCTTTCTATGAAACCCTGTGCACTCCGTGACTGGCCAGAACTCCCACTCAGGTGCCCCTCTCTCTTGCAGAAGAGAGAGCTGTTTTCCTTTCTCTTTCTTTTGCCCATTAAAACTCTGCTCCTAGACCCACTTCCTGTGTGTCTGCATACTCAATTTCCCTGGCATGAGATGGCGAACTTCAGATATTTACCCCAGAGAGCAACGTTGCTTCAGAATTGCTGAAACATATGGTAATTCTATGTTTAATTTGTTGAGGCACCACCATATTGTTTTCCATAGTGGTTGCACCATTTTACATTCTTGCCCATTCCCAATGCATCTGGCTTCCAGTTTCTCAATATCCAACACTTGTTATTTTATTTTATTTTTTTTGAGGCAGAGTCTTGCTCTGTTGCCCAGACCGGAGTGCAGTGGCATGATCTGGGCTCACTGCAAGCTCCACCTCCTGAGTTCACACCATTCTCCTGCCTCAGCCTCCTGAATAGCTGGGACTACAGGTGCCCACCACCACGCCCAGCTAATTTTTTATATTTTTAGTAGAGACAGGGTTTCACTGTATTAGCCAGGATGGTCTTGATCTCCTGACCTCATGATCCACCTGCCTTGGCCTCCCAAAGTGCTGGGATTACAGGCGTGAGCCACCACACCCGGCTGTTATTTTCTAATACTTTTTTTTCATTAGTAGCCTTCCTAATGAGTGTGAAGTAGTATCTCATTGTGGTTTTGATTTGCATTTTCCTAATGATTGATTAGTGGTGCTGAGCATCTTTTCATATGCGTATTGACCATTTGTATACATATCATCTTTGGATAAATGTCTATTCAAGTCCTTTGCTCATTTTTCATTTGGACTGATTTTGTTGTTGAGTTACAGGAGTTCTTATTTCTAAATGTTTAATTTTTTTTATCTTTTTTTAAAGAGAGGGCATCTCACTTTATCAGCTCAGCTGGAGTGCAGTGGTGAGATCAGAGCTCTCCACAGCCTCCCAACTCCTGTTCTCAAGCGATCCTCCTGCCTCAGCCTCCCAAGTAACTGGGACTACAGGTGTGTACTACCACATCCAGCTAATTTTTTTTTTCTTTTTGTAGAGATGGAGTCCTACTTTGTTTCCCAGGCTGGTCTTGAACTCCTTACTTCAAGCAATCCTCCCATCTCTGCCTCCCAAAGTGTTGGAATTACAAGCATGAGCCACTGTGCTTGGCCAGGAGTTCTTTATATATTCTGGATACCAATCCCTTATCAGATACATGATTTGCAAATATTTTCTTTGATTCTCCTAGGGCTGCCTCTTCACTGTGTTGATTGTGTCCTTTGATGCATTTGAAACCCTCCTGAGCCCTTCCCTCCAGTATCCTGCGCCTACTGTCAGGCTGCTCTGCACTTCGCATGGGGTTTTGGGGTATTGGGAGTACTCCTCGACCTTGTATCCTGCTGCCTCCCTGGGTGGGCTGCACCCACTGAGGGATGGGGGAGTGGCAGGTGCTTCATCCCTCTGTGATTTCTGCCCCAGGTCCTCTTCTAACAAACGCAAATCCTATTATGAGAATTTGCTAACACGTTTTAAAAATATGCAAATGGATTGCGAGCTTATTTCAGAGACAATTTTTTTAAAGAACAAGTAACCTATATATTTTTAAAATCTAGAGAATGTACAACTCCTCTGCCACAACATGAGGGAGAGGAGTCTGCAGACGGCTGATTGGTGACGACTGAACACGATGGAAAGGCAAGTCGCTATGCCGGAAGCCTTTGAAGGGAGTCAGCAGGGTCTGTGGGAGGTTCAGGACACAAACCTACAGCCCTGCTTCCGGCCCCACCCTTGGGGAAGCCTTTTGTGGGTCATCCTGGGACTCCGCTGGGAAGGCCCCAGGAGGTGAAACATCCTCTGCAGAGGAGATGACACATCTGGAGGTAGAAGACAGACCTCCATCTGGGCTCCGTTTAACTGCTGTGATTTTGGATTGTAACTTACCCCATGAAGCCTCAGTTTCCCACATGGAAAATCAAATCAATCATTGTTATAACATTTTACTTTTTTGTTATGGGATGTAATTTACACAGTGCTTTCGTAGACATTATCCAATTTAGGGAAATAATACAGAGCAATGCACTTTGAAAAGAATAAAATGCTTAACATGTGTGAGGAATTCTTTTCTTTCTTTGAAAACTACTCCGGATGGCTTGGCTATTGTTTAGTTAAGAGAATTACACAACTTTTGAGACATGGTTCCTTATCTTGTGTAGGCTGAAAGGCAATTAAACAATTATTCATGTCAGAATCTGAGGTAAATAAAAGGCTGCTTCAAAGAGTCCACTTGCGGATTGAAAAGCAGTTGAGTAGAAACAGAGAGTGGTCTGTAATTTCCTTCTGGAAGGAATATCCACTCCATATGGCCTGAAGCAAGAATTTCAAACTCCTCTGTGGGGAGAAAGAGACAGAAATAAAAACTTTAAGTTTTTTTACTCCGATTTGTCCCAGCCATTTTCTGAACAGCCTATGGAAGCCATCCACTCCTCTAAACAAAAATAAGCTAAGAGACAGAAAGAACGATTTGATTTCTGTGTGTAGGGATTGTTCAGTCATAAATCAGTGTCTTTTTCCAAGAGGAAGGTGCCAGCAACAAAAGTTGGTCATAAAAAGGACATTAAACTTTAGTAGTCTCTTCACTGTTCCCTCCCACATCCAGCTGCCAACAGCAGAGACAACTGTGAGACACAGTGACATGAAGTGACTGCTCCACTGCTGGGCAACAGGCGACCTGGACGCCAGGCTCCCTGACGGAAGAAATAGAAAGGGAATAGCAAACACGGATGCCTTCCTCCCTACCACATCACCTCCACTTTTCACCACTGCCTGTGCGATATATCCACCCCACAATGCCTTCCTCAGCCTTTTACTTCTGTTTCCAGTGAGTCAAGAAAAACTTCTCCAACTTGCCCTGTGGAGATGAGTGAGCCCATAATCCAAGACCTTTACACAGCCTGGACCCCCACAGAGCAGCCAAACATGCAGTCCTGCAAACAAAAGGAATTTCAAGATAACTCTCATCTTTCACTAATTATCCCAAAACCCAAAGGGGATCCATACACACATCCGAAGCCTGCTTGAAGGAGGCTTCCTCCCCTGTGTATTCCCAGCATCCTGTAGTTTCCCACTCTGCAACTCCAAACTCAGATTGTCCCATCACCCGCCCCCAGCCTCTTTTCTTTCCCTCTCCCCATGCCCCACTGCCTCTATTTTTTATTATTGCAGATTGACCAAGTCTCTATGAAGCTGCAGCGAGGTTTCTTCTTTTTTGGAGCAGGGAATGGGGAGTGATCGGGCTTGGCTGTGACAAAATGAGTTTTGGCAGGCTCAGAGGGCAGAAGCCATGAACACCATCCCAGTAAGTACAAGGGACTCTAGAAGCGTAGAGTTCCCTTAGTTCCTGGCTGGAAACCCAGCTCCCCACCTCCTCCCATCCATCAAGCTGGGAGCCGTGACAATGTCAGAGCCTGAGCTCCTGCCCAGACTTCTGGGCGAAGTGGTCCCATAGAGTAAAGCTTGGTTTGGAAGATTTGGAGAATGTGAGAGAACGTTCTCTTACCACAACCTCTTCCCCACCACAGCCCCTTCCTAAGTTGCCACTGAAATCTATTTTTGCCAGGGCAAAAAATAGGGGCAGTGGACAGCTTCTGCCAACAGTGAGTTTGTTCCAAGCCCACCCCACAGTCATGGGTCCCTCGGAGTGTCACTGAGTCACAGGACTCATGGAACTCTGCCCATGTCATGAAGATAAACTACTGTGATCACTTTAAAAATCTTTCTCATCATGTCCTTGGGAAGATAAAGGGGCGGAATTGAGCAGAAAGGGGCAGAGGTGGGACTTTTTTTCATTAACCTTAACCTTCATGCCAAGAACAGAGATCTCTGTTTGAAAGCATGTCTCAGATGGCCGTTTATTTGCTCTGCCTGGTAAACGCTGGTGTGATGCGTGGCTCTGAGCATGAGTCATTCCCTGCTGGGAAGGAGGTTAGAGCGCCAGAAGCAAGGCTATTGCAGAACTGGACTGTGTGGGTCACTAAACCACAGGGGAAAGGGTGGAGAAGCAGCTGGTGTTCCGCTTAAAGGTCACAAAGCATTATTTCTACTTTAATATCCAGAGTTCAAGTGGAAATAAACTGAGAAGGTTAAGATCTAAGTGAAAATTAACTGAAGGCAACTGTGCCATTTGGACTCTGAGATGTGCTTGCTTGGGGGAGTGCAAACCACACTGGCTATCTTTCCATGAGCACAGCTGAACAGGAATAGGCATTAATAAGGACAAACATAAAGAAAAAATTGCTAATTATTGGCAGAGAGTGCCAAGAAAAGTTGGTGGAATTTTCTTCTTTGGGAACCCTGGGAAAAGAACAGTAACAGTTAGGTACAGAGGCACCTGGAAGCAAATAAACTTCTCTCCCTGGGACAGTGGCTTTGTGCTCTGTGTAACTGAGTTCTTTAGACCAGTGTAGTCTGGGTGAGTCACTCCAGGGTTATATGATGCAATAGCCATGCTAATGAAAACTCACTGGTTCTGAGCCCCCTTCCAGAAGAACTGTGGATACTTTCAGCCTCTTTTCTCCCTGCAGGGTCTCAAAGAGCTCATGTTCTGTCCTTGGTGATTTATACAGATTTCTTGGCTGTTCCCAGCTTGCCAGTCAGTGGCCTTAATTTGCCACTTCTGTTGCTAATCCTAACTCTTGCCTCAGCATCGACCCGATCATTCTTGCAGCTGTAGATGTTGGCCTTCCTGCACCGGATGCTCGCAGAGAGGGGAAGGTGCTCTCCTCATCACCATTTCTAACAAAAAAATGAGAAGCTTGCATTCTCACTTTCTTGCTGAGCTTCTCCTGGTGGAGCTGCCCATGAGGTTCCTGATGGCTGGAGGAAATATGAGGATACCTTTCCCTGAACACCCACCACACCTCTCTCAACAATCAGCTCATGTTCCAGGACAGATGCTGTGAACAACAGCAAATGTAGAGCAGGTACTTGAAACTATGCTCAGTGCTTTACACAGATGATCTCATTTCATCTTTACTGTAACCCCATGAGATAGGTATTATTAAGGTCCCTATTCTGCAGATGTGCAGAGAACCAGCACCTCGACTGTCTGATCTCAGAGAGATCAGAGATCAGGGGTTGGCCTGGTTGGTTCTTCAAGTCAAGAGGACTTTTTCTTCTGTCCCAACAAGTGTCCTTTGGGTCACCAAGGCATTAGTTCTCAGTGGATGTTGCTGGTGTGCCTGACGTAGGTGGCCATTAGGCCTCCCTCCATTACACATGCCAATAGCTCTTGGTTTTCTTTTATTTGCAATACAATTCAAAAATGTGAATAAAACCTCAAAAAATAGGGAAATGAAGTCTGAACAATAAAAATAGCTGAGATACTGAGTATTTAATGTTGCCAGGCACCGTTTGCCAAGCACTGTTCTGTGAAGACAATGCCTGGCAACATTAAATACTCAGTATCTTAGGAGGTCGGTACTATTATTATCCCTATTTTACAGGCCACCAAGAGGTTAAGTAACTTGCAGAAGATTGCACAGCTCTTAATTGGAGCAGCTGGCATTCAAATCCAGCAGTAGCATCGGCCTGTTCCTTGCCAAATGCAACAAGGCTTTCTACCTTCTTGGATGTTTATTTCCGACCACACTTTTAAAAACAATTCACCAAACACATAAGAAGTAGCTAAGACAAGGGGCTCACATTCAATGAGTAATGTAGAGGCACAGCTTTGTGGTTGGTTCCTTCTCTCAGTTCAGTAATGAAAATAATACAACACATAAAAATATAACAAAACAGAAAGAGCTGAGTGCCCTAAGGAGGATACAAGTACAGCCCTGTGGAAGCTACGGTGATGGAAGTGACCCTGCTGAGTTAGGTCCCAAAGAATCACTGGGATCTCCACAAACAGATGGGAAACACAGATGTAGCACTGTAAGCAGAAAAAGAACTTCGTGGTGGAAAAGTGTCCTGGGGTCCAGAAATAGTGAGATACTGATATCTGATGGATCAAGCAGGAAGTCATGGATGATTCCAGGATGAGAAAAAATGCATAGATTCATCACAACAATTAGCAGGTGAAATTTAGTGATATTTTCAACATACAGGTGGCCTTCAGAAACACTTGGTAGTGGCACATGGAGCAGAAGAGTCCCACATATATGGATGTCCAGGTTTACACCAGATGTCCTGGCAACCCATTTGGTTAGCAACCCTAACCATTCTCAAAAAGATCCTTGCATGGACAATAAATTATATGGCCACCCTGTATCTGGCAAATTGAAAGACAGGGCTCATCACTTAGGTGTAATAAAGGTGCTTAAGAAGTCATATTGTGGCCGGGCATGGTGTCTGATGCCTGTAATCCCAACACTTTGGAAGGCCAAGGCAGGAGGAGCACTTGAGCCCAGGAATTCCAGAACAGTCTGGGCAACATGGCAAAACCCCATCTCTACAAAAACAAACAAACAAACAAATAAACAAAATTAGCTGGGTGTGGTGGCACACAACTGTAGTCTTAGCTACCCAGGAGGCTGAAGTGGTAGAATTACTTGAGTCCAAGAGGTCGAGGCTAGAGTGAGCCATGATAGTGCCATTGTACTCCAGCCCAGGCAACAGAGTGAGAACCTGTCTCAAAACCAACAAACAAAAAACCAAAACAACCCCACAAAGAAGTCATATTTTAAAAGCCTACAGCTCAATGCCTAGCTAAGCTTTATAAAGAATGCGGGCTCTTTGACACTTGTATACAATTGCAACCATAGTTGGTTTTGGAAGCGTCAGTTCTTTCCCCCAACCCTATTTGGTGTGAGCCATTTTGCACAAGGTAACCCAACCAGTGTCTGCCACAGAGATACGCAGGAAAAGCCAGCCTTAATGTATAGTAAAGAAAAAGCCTGGTTAAACACACACTGACATAAACTGATAAAGCTAATTTTTATCCAAGCCCACTTTTGGATTTCAAACAACTGAAGTCAAAGAAGTTAATTAAAAACACATAGAATTGTCAATGAGTTTAAAACTAAAACACAAATTTCTTTGAAACAATGAGACTGAACTAACTCTGTGGTAGATTAGTTGGCTAGTCTTTTGCAGAAGAGCCAACTTATTTGTATCTGAGATAAAACATATTCAGGAAAGAAGGAAAACTGCAAAGTGGTCCCAGAACAGAGAAAGCAACAAGGAGGAGGCAGTTTTAACTGTCCTTTCAACTTTGAGGTGCAATCTGTCGACAGGGCTCCCTTGGGGGAAGCACAAGCTCTTTCTTTCAGTGAAGTCTGAGTTTGTTGATTGATGCTGTGTTGTTGCTGGATTGTATTACTATGTGAAGTTGAAAGGCTTAACGTTAATGTGTCTTAAACTTCAAGACTTGGAACGCATGCTCCCATTTAAACTTGACTGTTCAATGTGTTTTGATCGGCTGGATGTCTAGCTTGTGCATTTCTGTCATTTCTTAATGTGTGTGGTATGCTTTGAGCACTGCAGACAGGAAACTCACTTTTTCTCTGGCTTTCTTCTGATTTTTCTGTTTCTTGATTATTGGAAAAATGAATACACATTGATAAAAATAATAATAAATTGTCACCCCAAAAGTCTTATCTTTAAAATAATGTGGAATGGCAACGCTAAAAATAAAGCAACTTGGACTCATTTCCACTATGAATAGGGAACAAAGAATCTGCACCTTCCCTGATTTTGGATTCCAGATTTCAAATATTTCATAAATAAAATATGACCAGCTGCATGAATTGTAAGGTACATAACATGTGAGTTACATACACAGGGAGAGGTTGTTTTTAAAATTTCCTGCTGGCAAAGTCAGACTTATTCTCATTGCCACTTTTAACCCTGTCAGATAAAACCATTCCAGGATGAAGTCGGAGATACGTCATAGTACATTTTAACCCATTTATGCCTGAGGTTGCAATTTTTTGAGTGCGAAAAATCAGACCCTGGTGATAACTTTGAGCAGTAGGATATAAATAACTCCCATATGCTTAGTGTTCCAATAATGGAACACTAGGCATAAATAGGTTTTAATATAAAAGCTTAAAATTTGTACTCCAAAGCAGGGAAAACTTGATTATATTCATTTACTCTCTATTAGGGGCATCACATCAGCTATATTTTTAAAGGAATAAAAAGCATGTCACTTCCTTTGTATGCATATCATCTAAATGGACACTTGGAAGTCAGTATCAGGTGGCACTGAAATGCCACATGATGGAAATAAAATCATCTACATATATAGTTGTACTCCTATAAATACTTACCTTTGTATCCTCATAAATATTATGAAATACATACATGAAAGTTTATCTCATAAATAAAATCCAATTTATAATCAGACACTGAGGGTCTGAAAAGACCCCATTCTGGGGAGAAAAAAGACCTTAAAACATATTTGCCTTATGCTTATGTGATTCCTGCATACTTAGCATGTGATAAGTTGAAACCATAGCATGAAATACTCTAACAGAAATCCCTAAGGAAAGCAAGAAACTATTTATCCTAATTAGCGTAGTGGCTTATTTCATAGTCAAGGAGTGTCAAAGACATTGATTGTATTCCAAACACATACCACCCTTTATTGAGATCTGGGAATGGAGCAGATAGAGTGCCTGGGTCCAAGTTTAAATCTAAACCATCAAAAACAAATACATTAGTGACTGTCAAACTCGGCATGCCAAGCACTGTTAGATGCAGGGATATAAATGAGCAATACCGTGGTGGGTTAAACGGTGGCCCCTGAAAAATATACCCGCACCCTCATCCCTGGAACCTGTGAATATAACCTTCTTTGGAAAAAAGTCTTTGTGGATAGGATTTTTAGATGAAAGGATTTTTAGAAGCTAAGGATTTTTAGATGAAATCATCCTAGATTAGCCAGGTGAACCCTAAATCCAGTGACAAACATTCTATGAGACAAATGGAAGAGTCACATACAGGAGGAGGAGAAGGCTGTGAGAAGATGGAGGCAGAGGCTGGGTGATGCAGCCGCAGCCACCAAATAACTGGAGCCACCAGAATTTGGACCAGGCCAGGAAAGGTCCCCGCTAGAACCTTCAGAGGAACACAGCCCAGCAGACACATTTATTTCAAACATCTGGCCTCCAGAACTATGGGAGAATAAATTTTGGCTGTTTTAAGTCACCAAGTTTGAGGTAATTTGTTACAGCAGTCCTGGGAAATGAATACAAATAGCATCCCGATATCTAGGAGCCGAAGGACAATATGCAGAGGGGGACAAGTCAGAGGTAAGTTACTTATCTGAAACTCATACCTGAAATCCCAGCACCTTGGGAGGCCAAGGCAGGGGGATTGCTTGAATCCAGGAGTTCAAGATCAGCCTGGGTAACATAGCAAGACCTTCTCTCTACAAAAAATAAAAACAAAAAAATTAGCCTGGTGCGGTGGCATGAGCCCATAGTCTCAGATACTCAGGAGGCTGAGGTGGGAGGATCACTCGAGCCCAGGAGTTCGAGTCTGCAGTGACCTGTGATGGCACTGCTGTACTCCAGCCTAGGCAACAGAGCAAAAGCTACTTCACTACCAGCAAAACAATAGGCAGAAAAATTTAATTGTGTGAATTTTTGAAAATCCACGTTAGATTAGGACTCCCACAGATATCTTTTCCAAGGCCACTCCCTTCTGGATCCTCCAGCTCCAGGTTCTGGCCTCCTGGGCTCGCTGGGATTTGAAATCAGGCCTTGATACTCTGTGTTTCCAAGCAGAGTTTTTGAGAGGTCTTGAAGAACAGGCTTGCGTAGAGTCATATTTTTTGCACACTTATTTGTTGACAGCACATGTGGAATACGGGCTTTGAAAACCACTGTGCGTGTTGTGACAGCCTCAGCGTGGCCTGGGACACACCCACGGTGAGGCTTCTGCCGTGAACGAGAATGAGTGTATCAGGCTCGGTAGTGAGCCAGGCTGGACTGACATCCACAGCAGGGGCTGAGAAAGTTCTCGAGAGAAAATTCCCGTGAGGAAGGATTCTCTCCCGAAGACCCAGAAACTCCTGAGTTTGTCTGTGAAATGTTACCTGTATATTCACTTTTCTGAGAGAATGGCTGGGGCTTTTATCATCTTTTGAAAAGGTTTCACGGCTATAAGAACCCAGAGTGAGATTCGGTGAGCTTGGCCTGTTAGAAAAGCCTCAGCTGTCAGAGCCAAGTAGGATTCCAAATACAAAGATGGGGCTTTTACCTGGCATGCTCCTGGAGCCGTCCCCTGGGGGCAAGGCTGGGGCTGAGGGAGGACAGAGCAGACTGGAAGCAAAAACTGGATGGCTGGTCAATGAAGGCCCAACCAGCCTTGCTGTGGAGCCCCACACAGGGACTAACACAGCAGAGAAAGCCGTTCCCCACCTCCCCCCAGCCCCGGGCGAGGCTTTGGCACTCTAAGCCACCGGCAGAGATCGGCTGCGCTCTCCAGAGTGGAGCACATGCGAGATGTCCCCGAGGCCCCCAGAAATCTGGGAGCAGAACTTCAGGAAGCTGCACCTCCTGCTTCAGCCCGAGGGGATAACGAAGTCAGCCGAATTCAAGTCTTCAATGTTACTGAAAACTCATTTTCACCCTCAGGCGTGGGAACTTTGGGGCCACACACCATTATGAAATTTGACAGAGGATTTATACCCCCAAAGATTATTGATGTTCATTAATTCACATTAAATTCATTTCAAATTTTAATATTTAGTACCATGTAGAAAATCCCATAGATTCCTGTAGATTTAGCTACATTTTTCTGTAGCTAAAATGGCAACGTTAATGCTGGTTGCCTAATAAACCCCAGATACTATGCTTTTCCGGAGCATTACAGAATGAAGGAGAGGTCTGTACATGTGAAGAACGTTGGGGATTATAAGAATATGCACAATTCTGCCAACCATGACTGGGCATCATTTTCAGACTCCTGGTAGACCTCCACGGGGGCAGTAGTAGGCTAGCCTTCCTCTGGGCTTGATGCTGCAGGCATCTCTGCTTCAGACTACAATCATCTACCCAAAGCCTTTTCATCTTTTCACTGAGGAAAACAAGAAAACCAGATCCCTTCTGAAAACACTTGCAGGAAAAGAAAAAAAAAAAAAAAAAAAAAGCAAATGCACAGTTTTTATTGTGCTTTGTTGTTTTATATGGTCTCAATAGAGGCAAGTAACAATAGATTATATATTTACCTAGAATGGGTTTCCAATAAAATGGGGAAAAAAGGCTTAGGGAGTTCTTATTTTGTGATTTGTTTAAAAAAACAAAAAAGCTCAAGCCTTAGCCCCAGTCTCTATTGGAAAAAAAAGGAAAAAAAATAATCAGAAAAGAGGAACTTGTTGGGAAGTGGAGTGAATGCTGGCTTCCCCCAGGCCCACTCAACCCCATCACCATGGAGACTCCTGAAGGTTCCAGGAATGACTCACGGGATTCGCTGGCGAAGCCTTTGAAATGGAAGCAGCACCAGAGCACAAAGACGAACTTAGTCTGCAGCCCTTGAAGACCGTGCCTTTGCCTCCTGACTGACAGCCTCGGATGTGGATGGCAGGCTACAGAGAAGGTGCCCTTCCCTTCTTCCAGGTCCTCATGACTTGGGGGCACTTTGCTCATGAGAGCAAAGGTCAAAAACTGGTTTTGCCTTGGATTAGCTCTTGCCCCACTACTGGAGAAATATTGATGTAAACCCCCGCACCCCACTCCCCGAGAGTGAATACTTCAAAGGGGAGGCCAGGGGCCCTCGGGATTAGAGAGAGGGTGGTTTTCAGAAGCACTGGGCTGGAAAAAGGTGTGGGGGAGCTATGGGCCAAGTTTTTTCTTGGGCAGCTGAAATGTATTCCCCTGGCTGTCCCTCTGGCTACATAAAACTGGCTCACATTAGGTTCCTTCAAAACTCAAGAATGCAGGCTGTTACAAACTGGCTTTGGGTTTCATCTCTGCTGTAGCAAGGCTCTACATTCACAGAGCCACCAGAAGACTCCTTCAGAGTTTTATCTGCTGAATGTCTGTAAATCATAGTTGGCAATTTGTGGAACAGGGAGAGCACCCTGCCCGGGGCTGCAAGGAGCTCCTGCCCCTGGGAATTCACACGGGTCGAGCACAGGCATGGCCGGTGCCCTCCCAGAGAAGCCCCCTTGCTGAATATCTGAGGTGCCTCTTTCCCAAGGGCCTTGACTATGCAGCAGGGCTTCTGGCAGGGAGTCCACACAAATGTCAAAGTTTCTGGGCACAGCAGGCACCCTGGGAGGCATGCCAGCACCCCCAAGTGCCAGCTGCCATTGCTAACCCAGAGCACCCGGTGTCCTCCCATCAGGAAGCTCGGCCCAGGCTCAGATGCGCGGTCAGGTGGGGCTGCTGACCCACTCACCCGGCACTGCCACGCTCAGCAGCCACTGTGGAAAACCTAAGGAGGAAGAGAAACTCCTCTAGTCGGGCCCAGTCCTTGTCTCAGACTCAACAGCGCTGAGTCCAAAACTCGAGGGAGTTTGCCAGGGTTGCCTCCATAACACTTTTCTAAAACAGAAGCTCACCAGAATTCCCTCCTCCAAAATGCATAGAAAATACCCTTCTTTCCCTCCAAAGGGAGAACCACCGTGAAGATGCGTATTCTCTCCTTCCCTGCCCTAAATATACATCCTGGTGACTGCAGACCTGCTTCACCACGAAAACAAATAAGAAATAAAGGTCTGAGCAAAGCTGCAGTCGCCTCCTCTCAACTATTTATTCTGATTTCTCGACAAGTGAGTTAATTGGATGGGCCCTGTGACAGACATTCCATACTAAAATTCATAGCTTTCTGCCAAAACAACATATTGTGCGCTGCTATATTTTCCTTGTTGGAACTTGGCGCTGACGTGGGTCCCGAGCAGTTTCATGCGGGAGTGGGGAGACTGAAGGCGCTGAAACAAAGACGGCACCCGCTGAGGCTCCCAGCCGGCCTGTCCTCCGTCCTCTGCAGCAGCACCTGTTCCTTGGCTTTTTTATTGTTACTTGGGCTTTGCAAGGTTCAAGTTCAAAGGGAGCCTCAGGAGTGAAGAAACAGATGCCGGGTTTGAGGCCACACCAGCTGGGGCCTCCCTGCAGCCTGGGAAGGCTTTGGGCTGTCTGGCAGCCTTGGTGGGCCCAGCTGCCCCGCGAAGGCCGGTCTTCTCTGCGGAGCCCTGTCCCGTGCCCCAGTCCCCATGCGCAGGTCCCTGCGGGGAGGTCCCGTTGCTCCAAGGGAAGGACCGGGCCGGTGCAGGCTTAGGGCCGCGGAGCACACACTCGCCTGCCCTCAGCGGCCCAGCTGCTGCCACCATCGCTGTCCTGCATGTTCCTTTCCCTTTCAGCAAAAGTCAGCAGCTTCCTCCTCTGATGCAGGGATAGTCCCCCTCTGAAATAGCGCTGTCTTCATTTTCCAGGAATTTCTACCCGTCTCGGTTCCCTCCATCCCCCCGCCAGGGCCCAGCATCCACCATCCCTCTGCGTCCTAGGCCTTTTCTCCTGAGATTCCAGGAGCACCATGCCGACATGCCCAGGCCCCTGCTGTCCTCTCAGGACGGGGGTCAGCCTTCGCACCTTCTCCACTCTGTAGCCATGTCGTGGGCCTTAAACAGGTAGAGAGAGAGGTGGGCCTTTGCTCCCCACGTCAGTCCCCAGAATGCTCATCAGTCAGCAAGCAGGCACCAGCCCCCAGTGCAGCTTCACTACCCCACAACCATCGCCCTGCCAGAGCCACGGACTCCCTCCAGAGAGCCTCCAACAAGAAGCTCGGTGCCCCTGATTCCGCCTCACAGAGCCCTGACTCCACCCAACAGAACCCCGGACTCCACCCACAAAGCTCTGACTCCACCCACAGAGCCCTGACTCCACTCCACAGAGCCGTGACTTCACCCTAGAGAGCCTTGACTACACCCCACAGGGCCCTGACTTCACTTAACATAACCCTGACTCCACCCAACAGAACCCCTGACTCCACCCACAAAGCCCTGATTCTCCACCCACAGAATGCCTGACTCCACCCAACAGAGCCCTGACTCCACCTCACAGAGCCCTGACTCCACCCAACAGAACCCCTGACTCCACCCACAAAGCTCTGACTCCACTCAGAGCCCTGATTCCACCCAACAGAGCCCCGGACTCTATCCCACAGACCCCTGACTCCACCCCTCCAGAGCTCCTGACTCCACCCAACAGATTTTTGACTCCACCCACAGCCCTGACTCCACCCCAAAGAGCTCCTGACTCCACCCACAGAGCCCCTGACCACCCCACAGAATCCCTGACTTCAACCCCACAGTGGCCCCTGAAGGTCAATCCCATGTAGGACAAGGAGTTATGTGAGCTCCTCACCCCTGTGCTGTCAC